CCTGTTCCAATTTCGTGCGAAACGAAAATAAAACAACTTACAAACGATGGTTTCACTTATATACGGAATATATTTGAAATCTATTGATTGAACGTCGCAGACATTTAAGTAAGATAAACTAAAAAATTTAAAATTTAATGAGTCGAAAGAAAAACAACGAAAACAGCGAAAGGCAGACTATGTTTTAAATTAAGTATATAGTTTACGTAAATGCACAGATTAAAATTTCTTTAGTTTGACATAACGATGGGATGTAAGCTAAGTCAACGATCATAGAAGGTAGAAGTCCAACTAATAAACAATTGATAAAAAACGTTACAAGCTTCGTATTAAATAAAGTCGTCATAAAAAAAATAAAAAATAAGTCGCCATAAAAGTGATTTTGTGTTATCTATGGCAACGACTACACTCTATAAAAGGGCATCAAAAGATTGAGCATCTTTTGAAATCGGCCATATTTGTTTTGATCTTTTGCCAAGTTAGAAATAATACACTATGTACAGTATTGGTAATTATAACATATAACATTTCGCTTGGCCCAGGTTTCGAAGGCGCCACCATGTTATGTGGAAACAGTGTTGCAGATGTGATATATGTGGATTTGGGGAATAAAACATACGCATTAATGATAATCTTTTTATTAACAATAAAATGAATCGGGCCACGTACATAATAATTGATTTTCCAATTAAGGACTCGCAAGCCTAAGACCGTGAATTACAAGACAGTGGAACCCTTTCTTAATACATCCTCCGACGATACATTACGCGTGATAAATGAAAATTCGAAATTATTTTTCTTTAAGAAATATACTCGGTAAGTTTCCGCACGAATTAAATTCTTAATATACAGAATTTTAATTATTAGGTAAAAAGCGCTTGCATCTTCGTTTACATCTTCGATTGCAAAATGCATTATGCTTATCACTTACTTTGAGAAATATGCAAGAAATATTATGAATATACATATAATAACAGTAAATAAATTTTTATGTACAATTAAATTTGGTACCTAGTCCATTCGGATAGACTGGACGTATAAGTTCAATATACAATCTGGTATTTCGCTTCTTCGCATGAATAACCGCTATAATAAATATAAACATTTAAATAAAGTAATTTTAACGGTTTTAAACGAGAAATATATTAGTTAATTTATTATAACTGCGGCCCGACGTTAAGGTTGCTTTACAGCAGCCATGATCATGGGGGGACTAAAAGTAAGTAATATATTTCGCGTTTTGAACCATTTCACATAAACTATAGACAATAAAAATTATTTTAGATTGAGTACATTTTTGTTGCGGATGCGAGTCGAACACACGATCATTGTGCACTGTGCTGTTACTTAAGCACTTGAGCTTGAGCTACCGTGTCCCATCGTGATACATCAATCCGTTTTAAATTACTCTTGCGCAATATAATTCCACCCGTCATTTACAGCTTTATATAGTTTTAACCCTTGAATGATTATGGTTTTAATATTGATGGACATAAGACCTACTTTTGATTCGATTCGAGGAATTGCTTATGCTTTTCAAAAGGTTATTTGTTAATATGGACACAACTCCTAAATACAACGTAATTTGGAATAAGTTTTTTATCTTTGTGTTTCGTTTGATTAGATGTTATTGATGCAAAGATACAGGGAAGACAAACGAAAATGGTAAGGAAGACTGGACCGCTTTTGTAACAAGTTATGGAGACAGCAGACGACTCAAATATGTGCTAGCAAAATTCATACGCGACTTGTATTCGATCCCGTTACTTTAGACTAAAAACATACTTTAATAATTGTTCTAGCTTCAAAACGTTATATTCTATGGCACGTTTAAAATCGAATGATTCAAATCATAAATGACTAATTTTTATCAAAAGCTATATAACAGTATAAATTACTTCGGACTACTAACGTCGCGGGTCACGTTACTAACGCGAGCAACGCGTTAGAACATCGGAATTCTATATTCAATTATTGAGAAAATTTAATTGAAAAGAGGATACTGGATGAAAGGGGAAGACGCGGCGTTACTAGGTTAATTTATTTAATAAAACAGTCACAGATTACTGATAATCTTCTGTCCGCATACTGAATTACATTAGTAACAATGGTTTTTAGATTCAAACTATTGATGATACACGCGAGAATAGAACCCACGACCGTTGCGCTACAACAATTTTTTAGTCTAAATATATATAAGTTTAGGGATATTATAAGGGATAATTCAAAATTCACAAAATCTGGTTAATGGTTATTATGTTCCAAAGACCTTAACATCTCCCCCCATTTATTTCAGTCGAAGATATTTCATGAACAAAATAGCTTAGCCAAAAATACATTTACGATGACGGGAAATGCTTTAAATACAGTTCAGGAAAATACCTGCTTCCATCTCATTCTAAACTCCACCAGCTCGTGGCTAAAATTAAACATTTACCAATGAAAAAACAGCCTTAAAATAGTTTACAGTAAGTTACTTATTTACACTTAATACTGAACGGCATTTTCACACAATTCATTTAAAGTCAAGAAATACGAAGCCATTATAACAGCTGAATCGAGCTACGCAACGATCGGAACAAACTTATTCGTTATACAATGCAGATAGTACAAAACAATTATTATATTAATGTTATCATTATTTATCTAACTTAACGTTTATTTGGCAGTAGTGATTTACAAAATACCAAAACGACTTCGAATATCTAATTATTATTTTTAACTACTTCACTTATTAAGAGGTAAATATTCTCAGTTTAACAATTATATGTGGTTCTTTTGTTATAGAACAAATTATCATTACCTTACTGCGTTACATACAAAGATTATTATTATAAAATTTATTGACCATTGGCGAGGCAAGGGTTTTAACTAGCGCCTCTAGTGGCGAAATTTTGAAGCTGTCTAAGAACGACACTTCAACAGTTTTCCATACAATTTTCAGCACGGAAAATTTGGTTTAGTAATCATAAATAAGAAATGAAAAGAAAGAAAATTGTTGTTTTTGTTTTGCTTGCCGAGACGAATGCCCATTAGACGATACTAAATATTAAAAATAAAAGGTACTAAATTTCCGTAAGAACTACGCACCAAGATTTGTGTTTCTGCTTTTATTAACTACATTTTATATGTAATGACTATCCATCTGCTATATTTAAACTTAACCTTCAGTTAAAACTAAACTAGTGTCGTTCTTAGACAGCTTTCAAATTTGGCGTTAGAGGCGCGCGAGTATTCTTTGCTTCGCCAATACTACCTAAATGTTTTATAGATAGAAATAATATCATTAATGTGCTGAATAACATTATTCTCCGAATTTTAATAGTAATTAAAGCTTAAAATCAGTGGATAAGATAACTGTTATAAAACCCGTAAAATGATAGGACCGTGACTTTTACGAACTAAGTAATATACTTTCCCAAACAAATGACGGTCAAACAAAGGTCAATGTGGATATCAAAATTTGGCACATTATTATTTAAAGCGAGTATTGTACTTAAACAAATTATTTGTTTTGCTTTATTTATTATTTGAAGTTATATTTATACTTTTAAATGCATAAGAAATGGTAAAAATTCTGTCTATTGTTATGATCCTCGAACACAAGCGACAGACCACATCCAAACACTTCCATCGGCTATTTTACTGTGGTTTTCATACATTTAATTCTGTATCGGACATCAGTTATATGAAAATTACAAAAATATACCGATGGCCGGGATCGGCAGTTAGTGTGCGGTGACCCTAATTAGGACTTGAAAAATAAAAGGCTAAATGCATGTAAACTAGGCACGCCGCCATATTGAAGAAAGAAAATATGTTTCAAATTAAACGATGCGATTCAATTTCAAATAAGTAATTCCACTTGTAACGAATAAAAGCGGAATCCCATTTCCACCTTTGGGGCATCACGGACACATTGCTGTGTCCGTTTCACTGATTTTTATACGTGTCCTAACGAATTTATCGTTTCCCCGGTATTTGAACTTAGAATCTTGCGTGCTTGGCGCAACGACAAAAGGATATTTGCTACGATTTAGTTCGCTAAACATTGATTTAAATCTTAATTAAAGCTACAGCAACTGGGTAAAATACACCATGACCATGTCTATACCCACGGTTGACAATTATCAATTCATTAAATAGGTTAAACAAAGTTCCAAGTAAGTTAGGCTGTGGTCTCCTATAAATGCTATACGTGCAGTGTCGTCTGCACTATTGTTGTCTCTTTCACACGTTTGAAAGCCGTAGACGACGTACAACACTTTGCGCCGCGTCTCGTCTAATTTCGAAACATTGCTTTTTAAATATCGAATATGATGCGAGCACTGTTTGTCGTCTACTGGAATATCGTCTGCGCATGAGATATTGAACTGATCAATAGGATCTAATCGTAAAAATAGCTACGCTGTAGCGTCCATTGGAGACCGCAGCCTTAGAACTGTCACTATTTATGCATATAAATTATTTACCGATAAAACTGAATTTTATGTACAATTTAAAGTTATTAGAACTCGCATCTGTTCACGGACCCAAATGTAGGAAAATCGCGCAAACACAGACACACTTTAAAGATAATATTGTCTCGTCAAAATCTCACTCCACGAACACTCGTTTATCATTAGCGAGTTGTATATCCTATGCGTGTATAAATTTGATAAAGTTAATTCGTATTCAAGTATTACCGTAATACTTAACATCACGGGTCATAACACTGAGAAGTTCCTGACTTAGCCAAGTTGTGCACCGTCCAATTCGCACTCCAAAAAGTCCAATACAGGAGAGTTTTAACAATCCGAACATCGCCGTACGGGTACTCCCCTAAATTTTGAGTTCCTTCCTCCCTACATTAGGTCAGATAATGAACCCTCTACTGTATGTAATAGTCTAGTCACTTAACAGACAGCGGCTAGGCGCAGCGCATGTGGCGCGTTTCTATCGGGGGAAAGTCGCCGCACTGGTGGTGGAGGCTCGTAAAGAGCTGGGGGCGAAGCGCGCTGTTAAATGATGCTCTCCCGGTTACGCTCGTTCTCCTCTTGCGAACTCAGCGAGCTCCCCCCACAGATCTGCATTTCGATCTCTTGTAACCTACGATAAAATAAAACATAAGCCCTCCAATCTTGCTGCTAACTATATACAAAATAACTTCAAACTTAAAATTAACTTAGTCTGACCAAGTTCCTTTGTATTTCTAAGCTGTTCGTTCCTCGAGAGTCGTGATATTAGTGACGGCAAAACATCGAAAACAAGGCAATTGTAGTCTTTAATAAGCATTTGAGGATACGACAGTCTAATCAGTGAGTATGGGGAAGTGTTTATAAAACAGTTGTTTCAAGTATGTAAATTACAACCGATCGATACTAGATATAAACTAGACACAGTAAATATGCAGGCAATAAAATAAGAGAAACTAAAAATGTATAAATAAATCAATGTTACCTTAAAACCTTTCTTATAGATAATAAATTTATAAAATGCTTCGGAATTTCCTTTTATATTCATTATCAGGTTGGTATCCTGGCTGGACCCTAACAGGCTGTAATCTCGCTAGTCAAATGCTTGTTAAAAAATCTCAAAGCGTAAAAATTACATAAGTAAATAATATAAAGAACGTAGATCAGAAAGAACTATCATACCTTTGATCAACTTCCCACTGTTGCTGACTCAACTTAGCGGACATAGCAGCATTTTCAGTTTCAACAGTATAGAGTCGTTCGCGAAGTCTTTTGATTTCGGTCTCAAGAGCGTCGTGGGTTTCCCGTTTTGGTACCGCGCCACCAGTTGCCATACTGCCTCCCCCCACTGCACTACTGCGTATGCTTGAAGCACATGAAGCTACTGGTGATGCTATGCGTAGAGGGCTAACTGATGAACTAAAACATTTTTTTTATCAGTATAAATCCTACTAATATTATAAACTGACAGTTTGTACGTTTGGATGGCTGTTTGTTACTCATACACGCAAAAACTACTGAATGGATTTCAATTATACTTTCCAATAATATAGCTTATACATCAGAATAACACATAGGCTACAATTTATAAAGATATTGTGTGAGCTGTCTAAAATATGACATTAAGTGTCAAGTAACTAGGAAAAAACCTACCTTTCTGCGAGCTATTCTGGCGTGCGCTACCATAAACGTTAGTTACACATATTTATGTCATGATGCTAGTTTTTTTCTACGCCACATTAATATAAGCTACTCCAAATACTAATCCTGCGTAGACGAAGTCGCGGGCACCAGCTAGTCATACATCCACAACACACAAGTACGTACATAACATTTGATCCGCTCGCGGTAAATCAAAACATAACCGGACACTTATTTGGGATAAAAATAGTCCATGCGTCATTCCAGTGTATAACATTGATATACCATTATATCAATATCAGTTAAGCCCGTGGAACGTAAAATTATAGTAAAAAACAAAGTTGTTGATAACAGTGTATGCATTTTCTTGTAATATTATTTTAGTTTAAATTAAACTTAAAATAAATGAAATTAGCAATTGGTTTTTGTGTTAAAGGAGCGCGATCAACCTTCTAAAATTAATTTATTTTAATCAATAAATCAAGAATTTATGTTAAACTCTCATACCTATAAACCTGGTCCCGGAAAGAAGGCGCATGTGAGGAAAGCATTGACAGTGCCAAAAGTGGGCGATGCCTGTCCATCGTCGTCGGTTGGCCGAGAGACTCCAGCATGCCGGGAGTCGACTGACAACGACCCATCGCTACTATTAAAATATCAAATAATCATGAGCAAAATTATTGAGATATTTTGTGCAAAGCACGTAATGATTTTAGGGTATCCAACTATCAAAGGATACTTCTAACTTTACTTTTAATAACATTACCCATTACTTCGTTCTGTTTTTTAATATTTTCTTTACGTTTAAGAAATTTAATTAGATACTCCTTTGTGGTAAAATAATCTTTTAGTTTTTTACTTTCTTATAATATATTGGTAAAAACTTCAATTTAAATAAATTTCGTATATAAAAGAAAATAATGCGCACCGGTCATGAACGAACCTTTGTTCGAGGGCACCCTTCGATACTTCTCAAGTCTCTTGACCGCTATCGCTTCAAGTCGCACCCGGGCCGCCGGATATTCTTTGAGAACATCCCACATATCGTTCTTGCTCAGCACGAACAAGTCCGAGTACCCCACGGAACGCACTGATGCTGTCCGACGGTTGCCTGTCGACGTGTCATCCACACACTCCGTGCCATCTGGTGCTCAGTTTATCGCTTACAATGTATTTTACCTCCCAAGTACGGTGAGGATCAAATACATCGTTAGCCATTTATAAAACCGACGCACCAACAGGAGTGTGTTGTAATTCAACTTATATTAATCTATTTTAAAACTACCCTTAATAAAAATACAAATGAAGGTGAAACAGTCGAACAAACCATTTCGAAACAAACTATAAGAAGCCAATTCTATCGAGATCAGAAAGTGCTTCAAGACAAAGCTTTAGGAATTGAAAAATAAGAGAAAAATTACATTACCTTACGTTACAGAATAAGCTTCTACAAGTTGATTTGATCTATCGATTACTAAATAATTTTGGAGATTTACTGAAACAGTCAAATGATAGACCACGATTCTTCGACGGTAAAAAACGGTTTATTTATGGGAACACATGCACCAAGAAGTCACGCCAAATATATAAAAATTGGGGGGATGCAAAGCGATCGGGGACACTGCCTTCAATACAATCAAAGGAGATAAAATAATCAAGCTTAAAAATTACTTTGCATTTTAGACTACAATCTAAAAACAATGCGGTCGATGAGATTGAATTAAAACGCATTACAAATGCAATAATATGATTATTACAGAAAATGAAAGGTAGTAAAAAGAAATCAAAGTCACACTAGCATATGAAAAAATGGAATTTTATCGTCAAAATGCGAAAAATATGAGTATAAATAAATGGAATGTATTAAGCGTTCTAAAACTTACAAAACGATACACAGTCAGCTGCAAGAACATATTAAATTTTTTAAGGCCACTGAACGCTGTATATCATATAATATCATAAACCATTGCGTCAAATAAAACGCAACTTTGAAGATACACAAAATTGTTCGTCCATGTCATATAAAATTTCATGTTAAACTAGAAAAATATTTTAATTTCACTGAGAAAGAAAGACCTGTCAATATTTTGATGCAGTGTAACGATCATGAAAATAATAGCTTCTTTGATAGCTTCATCTAATGTAGACTTAAAGAGCTTCTTGCAAATGACTGTGTGTGCTGTTCAACTTGGTTTATCATGTTATAGGTGATAATCCCAAGATTAATCAGCCGTAATGATCGCTTGCGATGTCCCATAACCTGTTGCTAGCGTCGCAGCCGCTCCTTCGGCCTGACTGCAGCGTCTCCTCGAACGTTCGCTTTTTTACATGGACGAAAACTAACAAAGATAATGGCGTGGCGTCTCGGGCCGTTTCGATATTTACCAAATTGTTTACCTGCGGTGCCCATATTCAAAATGGATATTTCGCCGAAATAAGAACCCGCCTTAAGTGTTGCCAGCACAGTTTTCCCGTTGTCACCCATCACCTGTAATTTCCCTCGGTTCACTATGTACATCTCCTTTCCGACTTCGCCTACGAAATAATCATATGTGAGAATTGAAAGTACGATACATTTTAAAACCGTCGTCGCGATTCGTGGCGTACCTTTCCTGCAGATGTAATCCCCCGGGGAGAATAGCACGGGTCGGAGTCTTAACACTAACTCACATAAAAAACCGGCTTCTGTATTTTGAAAAATCTCCACCCTGCAAAAGTTTTCACATAGATTTATATTACTGCGTTATTATGCATTTTCATAACGAATATTTGTATCAATAAAAGACGATTCGCTTTATGTAGTTTAAAGTATGTTTCTGCTTTAACTTTTATTTATTAATTATTGTCTGTGGTTTACGTGAGCTGTATTTATTTAAATAAAACACTTTCAATGTATGAAACGCAACGTTAAGTTATATACAATTTATTTTAACTGTGATCCGATGCTTTGGATGCTTTGCAGCAGTCGTGGTCAAAGAGGGACTGAACATGAAGCGTGTCCCTAATATCGAAGTCAAACCAGCTGCGTTAACACTCTTTGCTTCGTTGTGGTATGTTTCTGTTTGTTGGTATTTGATCAAACTACAATAATAATACAGTTTTTGCAGGTTAACGTTTCGTGTTTTAAACGTAAAGTGTTTTATTGAAACTCACAAACTATGAATTATTTACATCACTAACATGGCACCAACCAGTATCCGAAATGTATTTATTTATTTACTTAGGAAACTAAACAGCCCTGTCTTTTATGATAACTTAAAACTAATATTCTTATTATCTAGGGGAAAAAATGAAATTTTATAGAAATCTAAATGTATGTAGGCATGTACTCAGAGACAGTACCTTTACAAGTTTCACTGAGAACATTTGAGTTAAGAATAAGAAAAAAGCTTTGAGGCGAGAAACAGTGTCCTCTACAAAATATTATAAAATAAACCGTTTTTTTTTTTTTATAATTAGATAAGTGTGATATCTTTATAAGTTAGGAACTTTATTTATGTATACAAATAAAAATATTTATAAATTTAAATAAATAAGAATTAAAATAAAAACACAATTGTGTTTTTTGTAATAGTTCTTAGAAGAATTTGCATATATTCTCCTAGAACTTACGAATTCACTGTATACGCTGTTGAGCTTAACTAAGTAAGTATAACGGGGCTTAGCGTTGAAACCTAGAGTGCTACGCATAACGTAGACCGTTACGTTTCTACGTAGCAGTTTAATTCGCTACACAAATTTAAATTAAATTAAGTTTAACGAAACAATTACAATATACAATAGTATGTTTTGTGTAGGATGACAATCTTGACAAACTTATATAAAACAATTTGACGGTTTAAAATGCGATATATTTTAATTAAACTTGTTTGTTGCTGGCTGCTGCAAAACAGAAGACTGCGAAACTTCGGGCCGTAGTTAAAAATAATTTTCAAACAAGTTTAACTAAGATATATAGCGTTTTAAACCGTTAAAGTATTTTATTTAAATGTGTACTACTCGCGTAAACTATAGACAGTATTCAATGCATGTTTGTTAGTTTTACGAACAAAAGAGGTGTGCGAGAGAAGGTGTGCGAGTTGTGATGTAAATATTAAAATAAAAAAAAACGTTTTTTTTATTTTATTTAAAAGTATTTTTACATAGTGTTAGATCCTCATTGTGAATCGTGCACCTTATCAACGAATATACGACAAAACATGTTGTACGGTTACCATAAAAAATGCCTAACAGCATTTAGCGAAAAAACAAGAGCCCGCGATAGCCATTTGATGACAAAAATTTACGGATCGTATAAACGAACGCCTTTGAATAATTCATGAACATAAAAAGTGAATGTTTCTGTTTTTAATTATACGACACAGATATTAAAGCCGAGACTGTTTTGCTGACGTTATTTCGCTTTGAATGTATAAAATATATCATTTATTTCATGTTCTAGGTTTTAACAACGTTTTAATAAGTTTATTGACGTCGGCCTTTGGAAAATAAATCCCACTGCTCCTGCTGACCCTCCTAAATAGAGCCTTTTATTGCACGTCCGGGATCAAACTTGTGACCCTCATGAAAATAGCACATACCACTAGATCAAAGTGTATCTTCGTAAACTAGTTTACGAACGTTTGGGTAAAAACGTTAATTATAGATCAACGTTTTCACCCAAACGTTTTCACAGGTAGTACACATTGAATTAAAACACTTTTAACGGTTTACAATGCGAAATATATTAGTTAAATTATCGCAACATTTAACCGCGTCGGATCGTAGTTAAAATAATAGGTCAAATTTCGTGACTAAAACCGTCAAATGTGTTTAAAACAAAACATGTTTGAATTAAGTGACTTAATTTAAAACTCCTTTGTATAAGGTCTGTATTCAATTATATACAAGATATAACGTGTCGTGTGAAGATTGAATCATTTGCTAGATCGGACCAATCAAGGAGAGCAGGGATTTGCTTAATTTTAATTACCTCTTGAGCGTATCCAGGTGGACGTTAATAGCTATTTCTGCTTTAAGTTTGTCAGGGAGACAGGAAACCGCCTTCTCCTCATCAGAACACTTCTGCGTGAGCCATAAATAGTCGAACCATTTAATTACTTTTACTTGCAGATGATTTGGAACTCTTCTCATTCGCATGTACGTCTTGACACCGTCTAATTTAGCTGTAACAAATAAATTTCAATTTTATTAAACTAATTGTGCGCGCGACTTCGTTCGCGCGGAATAGGTAGTTTTGGCATCAAAATTTATTTTTGCAAACTACCTCCCAAGTTTCTTGAGTTATAGCAGTTACCCACGACGTCGTCCGCGTCCCGTCGCGTTGTTCTCACGAGTAATTTTAAAAGCTAAACATCTACTATATCGGAATTTTTTTTTAATGTTATAGAAAAGGAAAATTCCATCATACATAAGTATTTTTCTATTGTTTCTAGAACCGTTTTTGCAGCGCCTGCAACGGATGCACTCTGGATGCAATAATGATTAAATTTCCCTTAGTTCCTTGCTTCTATTTGTCGCAGTCTGATGTTTTATACCCTCTTCGATAAATGATCTAACCAAGAATTTTTCTATTCGAACCAGTAGTTCCTGAGATTCGCGCGGTCAAACAAACTAACACTTCAGGTTTATATAATATTAGTATAAATAATAAATATAGCTTATCCAGGCGGTATTATGAATCGTTATATATCAGTTTATTAAAATTGAATCAGTATTTTAAGCGCTAGAATTGAACATACATACAGACTAACTAAATGTATTATTTATTAATATTATACATGTCCTTGTATGCTTTGATGGTAAAGTTTGAATCACTACTGCGGAGTAAAAATACTTTTCAATTTTCCAGCCAGCTAAACAACGTTGAAACGACATAAATTTTAGTATCCCGCTGCGATACAGTTTATTTGAGTGATGAAATTATTTACTACCTAGCACTTAAACGTATAATATAGATATTGAATACCTCTGTAGGTAAATAGATAAACGTTTGCCTAGCACTGCGTTAAACGCCAGAGTCTGAATCTTTGGGAAACGATAGATTTCGGTCAGGCATCGCACAGAAGTCAGATCAACGGCTATTTACAGGCGTACATAAAAAAACCAATCGATGTAACAGACACAAAAGTGTGTTCGTTCAATACCCACGGGGGAAACGGGATTTTAGTTATATATTTTTTTAATTACATTTACGATTTTTGTTATCATTCACATACTATTCTATAACATGACATATATTGTTAGTTTTTATTTAAGCTTATACTGGTATTACTGTCAGGAAAGAATGACATGGGGAGTGTGGTAAATCTCACTTAACCCTCTTCGGAGACAATAGCCAAGCAGAAGCACAACACCACCACGCTTTAGAAGTGCCCTGGGAAATCATTTCTCCAAAGCAACATTAAAAATACCCCTTTTTTTAAACTGATGGTGTGAATGCCTAATGCACGCCCACGTCGGCCAAGTGTGACGTGGGGAGTGTGGTAGATCGTATAGCCGACCAGAACCACTAAACACACCACCAGCCCTCTACGTTGCTTTGAGGTAGATTTGGGCACACTACAAATACCCTAGAAATAATGGATACAACGAAACATTTTCTTAGCTTTTAACTTGCAAGATTCAACCAAGAGCCGGTAACGCGAGAATTACATCCCAGACCGAGTTTAGCATCTGAAATGTTGGACACAGTTAATGTTGGCAAGAATAATTTCCATCTGAAGTTTAGCACACCCGATTAAGTCTTTCGTGTCAGCGCCTTCCGATAAACTTAGTTCTCGAGTTTAAACTCCGGCTTGTAAATTTCACTACTAAATCGCTTTTTGATGTTATTTTAATTAAAACTATAGTCACGGTGTTACCTGAACTACGTCAACTTTTACCGCCTTTTAGAATTCATTACGCTTCACGTTTATTTTCCTCTATACTAATATATAAGCTGAAGAGCTTGTTTGTTTGATTGCGCTAATCTCTAGAACTACTGGTTCGAATTGATGCTGAGGCTATAAAATATCAGGCTGTGACTAATGGAATTGAAGCAGAGGGAAATGAGCAAAAAACGGGGAAAATTAAGTAACTAAGTTTCCAACACAACGCTGCGTGCGCTGCAGTTAAAGATATATATAAAATGATGATTTATCTTTAAATTATCTAAAAAAATCCTACACTACCACGACGCTATACGTCTATCTTTTAAGATTAACTTGCAAAATCGACGGGACGCTACCGACATCTAAGGTAACAGGTTACATTTATAAAGATGCCGCTGCAAAAACAGTTTTTGACGCCCAAATCAACTATTGTTAGCGGACGAAGTCGCTGACACAGCTAGTATGTAAGTATACACGCACTTTTACCTGAGGAACTATATAAAACTTTATTGTAATAAACTTACTAGAATTGTTTTAAATATGCTGTAACATAGATTATTTTTAATTACTACAGCAGGACTTCATCTGGCATCCACAGCGTTCCGTGCTGCTCTAACCAATTGAGGTACAGTGTCCTACACGTTATCGTCAAATTCTTAAATTGATACATGCGTACGCTGCAAAAACGGTTCAAGATACCCAAAAAATATGTATAAAAAATGATTCCTCTTTAAATGATCTAAAAAATGTCCACGACGCTGTATGTCTATCTTTTAAAATTAACTTGCAAGAACGACAGGAAGGGACGGGACCGACGTCGTGGGCAACAGCTTAAGTTTTGGGCTTGCAAAAACGAATTTGGATGCCCAAAATAACGATTTTCGAGGACGAAGTCGCTGACACAGCTAAATGTAATTTTCAAATCAAAATTATTGTATATGTGCGTTGTTATATCAGTCAGTCAGCGTCCAGTACAACCTATTTCATATACATAGTATGTGGAACAGTATTTTTTTAATAAGTAAAAAAAAACTGTTCTTTGAGACTGGCTGGCAAGTTCTGACAGCAAAACCAATTAAAAAAAACTTTTACTATGAAAAAGGTTTTATATCACTACAATATCTTTTGATAATGGCTGTAGATAATGTTATGATGACGTCGACGACCTTTACCTTTAAAACATACAAAGGTCTACTCTGTACGTATATCGTATGTGTTCCTAACCCTTTTTGCCTCCTAAAAGGGCATATGTAATGTCTCTTACAACATACTATATTATTCTCTCTATTAAAGAATATGGTTGGGTGTGATATTCACAAAAAAAAATAAACTCTTTTAACGGTATACAATGCGAAATATATCATATAACACGTCTATATTTAAAAAAAAATACCATGATATACATGTGATTATCTAATAATGGATTGAGTTATCATTACTTATACATAGTTATATTCTTTGCAAATATTAGTAAATCTAGTTTATTCGTTTTTACTCAAAAAGGGATTGATGTATCTTACGATAAATAAAGAGTTTTAAACCGTAACGAGATCTCTTGAAACAATGGTTTAGTTAAGTATTTCGTGTTTTAATCCGTTAAAAGTGTTTTATTTAAAAGTGACTACTTGCGTAAACTAAAGACTTTCTTAAAGATCTGTTGTCTAAAGATTCTTTAAAAATCTGTTGACGATTCGCACATTTTCTCCCGAGTAAAATAGCGTAGCGAAGACCATTTTTATTTTTAAAATCGTTCTGTTCTAGATAACAATTTGCTAAAAGATTGAAAAGGAAATTAAATATTTGAGTGTTTGACGATTTCGTTTCAGTGCTATTCTAGTTATATTTCATGCCTTTTAAAGTATTGTTAATCACGTTTTAATTAGTAACTGTTAAAAGGGTACGTTTTAACTCGGTATACTGGATTTTCAAATTGCAATGATACGAATTTTTCGTGGACTTATTTATTTTATACTCTAGAACACGCGTTTTAATCATCTTGTTTAATTTATTCATTATTGTGTGATGTGTGAAATCCCGTTTCCCCCTAGTGGGGTATGGGGCGAACACATTTCTGGGTCCGTTTCACTGATCCGTTTAACAGGCTAGTAGTTGATCAGACTTCTGTGGATCTCTCGCGCTTAACGCGATGCTAGGCATTACTATACAATAATTTTGGAATTTTGTCAATATGGGCTCGTTGCCTAATCAACTAGGTCTTGGGATCGATGCCCACCGGTCTAACATTTTTCTAATCAATTTATATTTTTTCTAAAACATCGAGTCGGACTTCGCCTGGCAATGTGGATATAGAACGGATGTTAGGAATATAGTAAGTTCCGTCCAGGTCACGAACCACCGTCCACATATGAAAAAGCGTAGTTTATTTCAATAAAACACTTTAACGGTTTAAAACGCGATATATTAGTTAAACTTATTTGACAATGATTTTTAACTTCGGCCCGACGTTAAAGTGTTTAATTTAAAAAACTACTTGCGTAAACTATAGACAGTATTTAAGCGTAGTTTAATCACGTATCGGTTTGATACTTTGGATATCGAAATATACATAGCCAAAATAGATACTATAGGCTGTGGTTCAACTACCATCAATCGAACCTCATGCTCGCCTGTCCTCTGTCAATAATAATTGCGTAAGGAGCCTTCAAACCTAGCGTGGACTCTGGGTTCACATGGAGTATTTCGAGCGTAGATCGATGTGGCGGTCGGCTGGGATGGGGCGCGGCGCCCGACTTTTGCCAAGCTATTTATAGCATTCAAGCCGCTGACCTATTTTGCTGCAGCGCCGCCGAGGAAGGTCAGAGTTTCAGCCTGCCGAGGCGCCATTGTCTCTCCAACCGAACTGCAGTGCTAATTAAGCTTGTCGACACTTAGCTGCCTGTAGCCCATTGCATTTCTTACCGGATCGCCACTTGGGTACAAAAGGGTACAATTATTCTCGTCGCGGGATTTCCTCGACTATTTTTAACGCTTCACCCAACGGTTCTGTTACAGTCGACCGCTCACTTTGTCTGTGGCTCGGTGGTATTTTTTTTCGTTTTTGCCGAGCCGGTCTTAATACGATTTAAATATAGATTATCGATTGGTTTTTGAAATTTATTGTTGGCAACATTTTAGTGTTATATTTTTAAAAAAAGGGTATACACCTAACAACTTTAAAAATATGGTATTTGTGCGTGATCACGGCTACTGCAGAGCATTCTAAACGTCGGTTCGTAGTTCAAAATAGGTTCATTTATTTCGCGTTTTAAACCGTAAAGAAGTTTTTTTTTGGGGTTCTTATAAGTATAATATAATAATAATAATTTGTACATAAGTTGAACTAATATATTTCGTGTAATACTCTCGTAACTAAAGACAGTATTTAAAGAAGAACAAGACATACACATACATACATACATACGTACGTATGTACAAGCTTTGTATACAGAAACCTAATTCTGCATTGTTAGATTTCGTTGTTTAAATATATGTATACGATTTCAGACCGCATAAAACATACAGTACTACTATATTTAATAATATATATTATATATAGATAGGCAACCTTTGTTGTATCTGTACTTTACACGAATGTTATAAATTAAATCGTTCTTAACGGTTTGAAACCATAGTAACCACGAGCCAAAGCAATCTTACGTCATAGTTAGATATTAATTACGTAACAAATTTCACGGTTTTCATTGACGATTGGCTGTACCCGCGACATCGTATAATTATTGTGGACACCAAAATTTCTTTTTTCAGTTCTCTTACTGTTACCTATGACTATAGGAATCTTTTTTTCATGCATATTATTTGGTTATCTTGAACCGTTTTCGCAGCATACGCATCGGAAACCTACAAAGATTATCCCCGTTTTTATTTCTATTTATTATTTCCCGCTGTTCCCTCCTATTAGTCACAGCTTGATGTTTTCTAGTTTATAACCTTCCTCGATAAATGGGACAACCAGCACAAAATAATATAAATAGAACCAGTGGTTTCTGAGATTACGCGTTCAAACAAACAAACTCTCCAGCTTTATAATATTAGTTTACGTACGTTACGTCATGTGCGTGAACCAATCATGTTTGGATGAATGATTTCTGTTGAACTAGGGTAAGCTTGCAGGATAATTAGGGTTGAGATTGTTTTGTCGAAGCGGAGACGCACGTAGCGGCGCGTGTCGGCACGTCTCCACCTGTTTAGCACGTTAATGTGAGACGCGGCGAGTCTCCGACGACGATTTAGCACCTTGATCCTACGTAATAACCCCACTCGACCTTTCGTAGTCTTACGTTGAGAGTGAATTTTCAAAAATGGAACGTACGTTACATAATTTTGTATTGATTGCCGTTATTATTGTAATATAAACCGTACCGTACCGTATTTATAAATATAGAATTGTACTATTTTAAAATCTGTTTTTTTAACGATGTAAAGAAATAAGGAAGTCTAAATACGGCCTGATGTTTCGGATGCTTTGCAGTAGCCGTAGTCACAGAGAGACTAGATGGACTTCACAGACTTTAATGTCAAAGTAAAAACTGCTAGCGCCATCTGTTCCGTCGTAATTGGTATTTGACAACTACTACAGCTAGCGTCGCAGCCTTGCAGACATGATTAATATTGTTGTAATAATTTGTAGTTAATTTGTCAAACTTATCACCCTATTTTCGACAAGGCATAGAAAATAATGCACAGCTATATGTAGACCGCTAATTTGAAACACGCCGACTTCCACAGTTAAATTATTAACAGTCGCGACTGAAAATTGATCGCGTTGAACCGCAACCATTAATGAATTAGTGTAAACTTATTATGATCAAATATTGTTCGGTTTCACATTGCAATTTTCGTTTTACAGTTTATTCATATATCTGTTTCAAATATCTTATTGCATATATTTACATTTCTCAGCGGTACGGCGTAGTCGCAGGTTCGTTTCCGTCCGGCCGTGACCACGGCTGCTGCAAAGCATCCGAAACGTCGGGCCGAAGTTAAAAATCATTAAACTTTAACTAATATATCGCGTTTTAAACCGTTAAAATGTTTTATTTAAATGTATTTTCTTTCTTCTAATTCGAGCTAAAGTAACAATAAGGACTGGACATAAGAATGGTCAGGTCACAATCTCCGAAAATAATCCGTTCTTCGAAGTTAAAGGGAAAAGGATTACTACTTATTTATGTCTTGTACGTAATCAATGTTTGGCTGTTAAAACTTTTTGTTTGAGAAACTACATCACAAAGAATTGCCCTTCACTACGCCGAACTAGGTAATTCCGCTGTTTGTGCTATATCTAATCCATAATTATTTCTATGCATTTGGTTTGTAATTATTATAATAACGAGGTAGTTACCTGATAAGTGAATTTATAATTTAACAGCTGTGATGAAACCCTATGTATTAAAATGCAGTCTCCCCGTGACCACGGCTGCTGCAAAGCATCCGAAACGTCGGGCCGAAGTTAAAAATAATTTTCAAATAAGTTTAACTAATATATCGCGTTTTAAACCGTTAAAGTGTTTTATTTAAATGTGTACTACTCGCGTAAACTATAGACAGTATCATTTGTTATGTCAAAAAACATGGTCGGATAGTCAGTGGTTACAAATGAGATAGCTGTTATATACATAGGGTTTCATCACAGCTGTTAAATTATAAATTCACTTATCAGGTAAAAAATGAAAATGCAGTCTCCCCGTGACCACGGCTGCTGCAAAGCATCCGAAACGTCGGGCCGAAGTTAAAAATCATTTTCAAATAAGTTTAACTAATATATCGCGTTTTAAACAGTTAAAGTGTTTTATTTAAATAACAAATGCTTTTACTATTAGGTTTGTTTCGCGTTTTGAACCTCTAAATGTATAGAATATTTTTCACATAATGTCACTATTACAATTAAAAATTGATAATAAATTGGTAAAAATTTACGATGCCGGTGGTTTTCGAGTCGTAACTTTTTTCAAATCATAATAGATTTTAACTAATATAATTCATTCATTAATCGGCAATTATTCTCGGGCAAACCTACAAAATAAACGTTATTAATTTTAAGAGAGTTTTAGTCGAAACCTACACCAAGAAATGCGGAAAGCCTCGTCCATTTTTCGAACGACACAAACAAAGCTTTCTCTTTGGCAAAACAATTTATTAAGCTCCGAGCCGATCAAACAACAATTCCTGAGTGATGTACAGACACACAACTGTAACGTTTTCAAGTACTGGCACTCTGTTTGATGTGATAAAAGACTAGTATTGTACTAGGTATAAACTTGCTAATAATTCGTATATAATGTCGATAAAAAGATAAGCTACACTTTCTTAATAAGTTGAGGGTCTTCTTGAGCTAGCTTAAAAACGAGACTGCAAAAAGGGACGCCACAATTAATACTTTAATAAATATCAGTTTAAATACTGTCTATAGTTTACGCGAGTAATACACATTTAAATAAAACACTTTAACGGTTTGAAACGCGATGCAATGCGTTTTTACTTTGACGTCAGAGACATCCTCCATCTTTAGCCTCACCGTGACCACGGCTGCTGCAAAGCATCCGAAACGTCGGACCGAAGTTAAAAACTTAAATCATTTTCAAATAAGTTTAAATATATCGCGTTTTAAACCGTTAAAGTGTTTTATTAAAATAACAGTTTAATTAGAAATTTAATAGAAAAATAGTACTAAAGAAAATATTTATGAGACCTATTACGAGACTACAATTCTTGATATTTAATTCGTAATGTATGTAGACTGATGTCACTTGTCAAAATATTGGTATCTAATAGTTAACTATCTTTTGCTTAACCCGAGATGTGTCAGTATGTTCCAAAAAGACTACAACAAATATGGCCGATTTCAATATATGGCCACAGATGACAGAGGGATAAAGAAACATCGCTTATATATGAAACAAACGACCTCAATATTTAAAATCACTTTTATGGCGACTTTTTTTTAAATGTAATCTTATTCTTATTTAACTAGACTATTCTATAGAATAGTGGCGTTCTCTTGTTGTGGAGGCCAAGACCCACTTTGGGTCGCTGCGCCAGCGGAGTAAGTAAGTATACTATAGAACTACTTTGTAACGCTTTCACTTGCTTTGGGGAACTTCTACATTCTATTGTCGTTCAATTTTGGTTACATCCCTATGTTAATGTGATAGTAAAGACATTTTAAATCTGACCATTTACATAAAATAAATTTAACATTTTTAATAATTTAACATGAAATTGTGGTTTTTACTAAGTACATTTCAGGCAGCTTCATTCGTTTATTTGACAACTCCTGTGTCTCAAACTGTTGTAAAATAACCTTTTGAGAAAATCACAATTTCATGTAAATATGTGTTTGTTTACAAAAAATGACAAGTTGGAAAAATATACCACACAAATATCGGCGCACGACCCTGAATGTATTCCCTAACTTTACTTTAGGAACAATAATTTATACCAATACGGTTCTCTACAAACCTATATGTATATTCAATAAGCGGATGTTATGCGCTAACGCTTCCGTAATTAACTCATTTGAATTATACATACGGAGGGAACGGCGTCGACACATTAACATCATTAGGCTATCATACCCATTCATGGAGTTGTAACAGTGTTTAGGCTTTGGTCTTCTATCAACGCTATACCACAGCGATATGTAAAGCAAAGGTAGTTTTTTTAACAAGCGAGGTACAATGTTGGTGAAGAAACCTCGTGAATATTATTTGCATGCACAACGCACATCAGACAATTGTGACATCGTGTGGTAAATCGGACTACATCGGTGTTCACCAAGTACTAACCCCACCAGACACGAAAGCAGACCAGAATCACTAAACACACCACCTGCCCGCTACGGTACTTTCTTGGGAACACGTCTATACAACCCCACGTTCTCAACGCCTGTTTATAAAAGCGATCACTGGAATGGACATACAAATGTGTCCGCCTCATTCTCCCAAACGGTGAAACATTTAGTTTCTCCGTGGACGTATGTAATTAGACAAACATAATAATCACCATAGTTCTTTAAGACTTATTGTTTATAATAGATTGTGCTTTGTTTGTGTACCTTAGGAATAAAATAAAGATATGTGGTATTTCACTTTTACGTAAAGAAGTTGAAGTAGTTTTAGTTAGTTGTAGTAGGTTTTTCTAGATTTCTAGGATTACATTGTCTCACCTTGAAATTCCTTCCGAGCAGTACTGACCGATGTAACTATGTTAGCTACATGTCCCAACACTGTTGCAAATAGCAGCAAGCCGAAAAGCAATTGCGCAATGACAAACACGTACTCTCCTTTACTGCGCGGGCGGGGCAGATCACCTATACAGAAAGAGAATACGTTAGAAACATAACCAGATAATCCACAAACAACAGGGGCTTTACACAGACCAGCAGTTCCAAAACTATAGTGAAGTTCGGAATTTTCATGTGAGAATTTTAGCGGTTTAAAACGCGAAATATATCATTATCTAAGTACATGATATATGAATTACAAATAGATTTAGATTGAAAAAAAATAGACGACGCGAGCGAGTCTCGAACCGGCAACCACAGCGTTCCGTGCAACACATAAGACGTTGAACCTCAATACCTACTTGTTAAGGTTGAAACTGCGTTGCGCGAGAGGTGTAAGTATCAATTAATAATGCCATTATGTGCTATAAAATTTGTAATAATATTAAAGTTTTTAAATACAACCGTAACATTAAATGCTTAAGAGCATTGGTGTAAGATACAAATACACTGATAGTTTTCACATTTTAAACCGTTAAATGTATTTATATAAACCTCGCGTAAACTGCGGACAATAGTTATTGTAGTCGCGAATATAATTATTTTGGTATGTCGCATGAGGCAGACAAACTTCTGTGTCGTGGGGTCAATTTTTAAAATGAAAAATGTGATACACCACATACAGGTTTGTTACCACCACATAAACTTTTTTGCGTAAGTTTTATATTTGCATACTTGTGTTATCGTGTGATAATGATGCAAGGTATATTTGCGATTCCTCTTTTCATATTTACATAATTAATTATTGCGTTATTATTATTTCACCCCTCCTAATGGATTTAAAGTCAGGGTTGTCAACATTTTTCCAGTGAAATATAGTATATTTATAAATGGACATATAAAATGTAGTACACTTTTATAACACTTATACGAAAGTATAGTACTTTTGGGAAAATTGTTACTGTAAAAGACATTTACATGAAAACAGAATATAGTATCGTGAAATGAAAATGAAATGTACTTTAACGGTATATAGTACACAGACTCGAAATAGTACGATAATATATTTTATAGTACACAATACAGGTGGCAACCCTACCTCTGGTATGGTGTATTTTCTAATCCTAAGCTACGCAATAGTTTATCACAAGAGATCAATAAAAGTGAAGCAGGTAAGCTAAATGGATATTCATTGTCAGCAGAACTTTTACATTTCCCATTGCTGGCACTGGGTTGAGGTCGTATTGTTCTACAAGTTATGCTGACGTGAGACCCTTTTGGCATCACTTTTCTTTAAATATTTTTTTTTATATCAATGATTTTATAATAATTACTTTAATTATTTTCTAGCATTGTTCTAAATTAATGTCAAATAAATAGATTAATATTTTTATTATATACATTTTTGGTTCCCGACCGAACAGATTTTGTTAGCATGAACAGAATGCACATAAAATTCGAACAGCACGCCATCTGTAGGACGCTTAGTCAAAATCCACTAATTATATAATTATTTCGTCTCAGCGAATATTTCAGTTAGCACCAGAGAACAACATGCAGAGAAGGCACAAAATGGTTGCCACTGGTGCTAGTAGATTCCCTGAACCGCACTATTTTAATTGCCCTAAAATAAAATTATATAAAGTGGCCAAGTGTGAGTCGGACAGACTGAAAAGGTTCCGTAACGAACCTAGATATAAATAGTTTATTATTAAACTTTTTCTTTATTATATACAGGCTCTAGTTCACGCGGGTAGTACACATTTAAATAAAACACTTTAACGGTTTAAACCACGATATATTTTAGTTAAACTTGTTTAAATATTATTTTTAACTACTAACGGTAATTACTAACGATGACCACGCAAAGCATCTGAAACGTCGGGCCGAAGATAAGAATCCCTTTCCTTATTTAAGGGAAGGATTGATTTTATTTTTGTATTGGATCTTATCAATATAAAATATTTAAAGTGAAAAACACAATTGAGTTATTTGTAAATATTTCAAGTTCTGCTACAATTATTTATAAGACGACAACATGAATACATAAGTCGTGAAAATGTATATTGCAATTCTAGAGATACAGTAGCCGAACCTAACCTAGCCGAACTAAAAGGCTTTCAGTGTACCCAAGGAACCCTAGAAACGTTTCTATCTGAAATTTTTGAAATATGCACAAATTATATTTCCGCGCTCCCATAATAAATGAATATGGCGCGAGATTTTCAATTTCACGTTGAAATTTTGATGCGAATATCTAGCCAATGCACCTGTGATGAAGATGAATAAGAGAAAATTGCTCTTTACGCTAGTTTGAATTGAATAGAGATTACTTCAGCGGAGTGTGATGCATCCATTTGAAGAGGATAACGCTCAGCGTGGCTGCGAAATGATTTATAGGCTATTGGGGACCCCGTGGGGGGTATTTAGGGCGTAATTTATTGGAGACCAATAAAACGCTAAGTATCCTAACACCACAGATAATGCGATGATGCGAATGCGTATCCGAAACCGAATTTCGCTAATTTGAATGGCACGTATTACTATGTATTGTCTGTTTGTTAAAACAATTTTATTGGCTTAAAACGCGTAATATGTTAGTTACCACTTAAACGTCGGGTCGTAGATAATAATTAATTAAAACTACTTAATAAATTTCGCGTTTTACCTTAAGTTAAACTGAATCGAACCTCTGCTAATAAACTGTTTAAACGCCTTGGGTTAAGTGCTAGAGGTCCTAGGTTCGAATGCCGGGGAAACAACAGATTGTTTTGGTCGAGTATGCCGTAATGTAAGTGAGTATGATGAACGACTTGCATGTAGCTAAAATACCGACACTGTCCGACGTTTTGAATGCAGCATTAAATTGTAAATCAGTCAACTAATATTTTTTTTCGTTTTAAAACATTCAATGTGTTATATTTAAACATCGGATATGTTAATGAACTGTTATTTATAAATTGTATAAAGCTTTGTCCGCCATTTTGGAAGTTTAATTTCGTTTTAGCGTTGTATTTTAGCATTTTTTCTTGACGTTTCTACATCAGAAGTGGATTCACATCATCAGGGCAAGTTGCGCGTTCGACTAAGCGAATACTGGGGAAATTTAAAAGGTCGGTGGCAATGCTTAAACTCCTCAAAGAGCCATGATCGAGGGTTTCGGCAGATATCGCGTTTTATGGGTTTATTAGAAAAGTTTGCACTCAAGGGGTTCCTGGCATTAAGGTCGGAACGGAAACGTTTATGTTTTGGTTACTTCACTTTTGCTAACAACTTTCAGTTAACCAACCTCAATAGAAAGCACACTTATAATACAGTGAGTTTTGAAATAAATAGTCGAAACGAAACACTTCAACGGTTTAAACGCGGTATATATGAGTTAAACAAATTTGAAAAGTAAATGTCTATCCGTGACCATAGCTGCTTTAAAGCATCCGATCTTCCAGTCAACTTTGGAAGATGAAGATTTACAATATTAATTAATAATAAGAGAGCTATAATAAGTTTATAAAATGCTAAGAATATTCTTAAAGTTAGACTTAAATTTGTAAACCATGACCATAAGTGAGTATCAACCGTTGCCATTCAATACATGTACATACAGGGTGTATTAAATGTATGCGGTATAAATAAACGTTATCTTTCCTACAATTATCTCCCTACTAACGGTCGGAAACTGTCGACGTCCGGGTTACTTGGCTGCTATATCGCGCTCCAATGCATTTTACTATTTAATATTCTAGTCATTATAAGCTACTGTATTTACATTTCCGCGCCAATATTAAACGTAGTATAATTATTAGAAAATATTAAGTTCATCTATTATTTTTTTAGTATCGAATAGATCTACTTTAAAATAAAACACTTTAACGGTTTCAAACTGTTAATAAAAAACGAAGAAAGTTGATAGGGGTTGAAAAGGGGTATGAAAGTTTGTATGAAAATTCGTGATTTTTAAAGCTAGACCAATGACACTTTCTTCATTGGCTTTTTGGGAATGGTAGTGGGAGTGGAAGTGAGTGTAGGAATGAGAGTGAGACTTAGAGTAGGAGTGAGGTGAGAGTGTTGTGGCAAAGTAGTTAAATGCGCTCTTACATAAATTGATAACAGCCTAAATAATTAAAAAAAATATCCCAAGTCACTATTTCGCGCGGACGTAGTCGCGGGTACAGCTAGTATTACTATAGATATAAAAAAGGCTTACTATTACTTCTTAGAAGATTAATAACACAACTAAATACTTTGCTGGTGAAGGACATCACTCCGCTATTGCCGGAATAACTGAATTGCTACAGCGCTGATAGTAGTCAAGCCGTGAAAAGGTATCAGCAAGGTAGTCTAATATTCAATAGCACAGCAAACTTAAACTCTCAAACAGCACTGATCCTTTATTAATTCCGCTAACACTTAATTACAGTCCAAAGAAACTATTCAAACTAAAACCTGCAACTACCCTCACGCCGTAACTACTTTCAGGGGTAGTTAAATTGCCACTAAAGTGTGAACGATCCAAACATAATCTCTTTTGGGTTCAAGCCAAGTATTTTCCGCACCTGCATTATGTAATATAAAATGCAAAGTACCTGTATTTTGTAAATATTTGAAACGCCTTAGTGACGTCATCGATTCGCTTTATAGGTATTGGAGAGCTGTTTTGGAAATATTGAAAAATAATCAAATCTATAAAATCGCGCCGCGACTAATAGGAGCGATAAACAGCGGGAAATGTGGAAAAGGGGAAAAACGAAAACGGTTCAAGATACCCAAACTATGTATGAGAGAAAGATTGGTATTTAAATTATGTTAAAAATGTTCTTCGACGACGAAGTCGCTGCCACGGCTAGTGCTATATGATAATAGATATATTCCAAAGAATTATAATATTCAAAAACACTTTTCTCTTTATAGTCTGTACATTAAGCGCTGTATACTCGATTGTAGAAACTAACTGGGTCTTTGCATAGCTGCAAAGTATCCGAAACGTCGAGTCACCTATACTAATATTATAAAGCTGAAGTGTTAGTTGCAATGCGCAAAATTTGGTACACAGATATTTAAGAGCCCGAGAAAGGACATAGGCTACTTTTTAATGCCAAAAAAGGGTTGATAGGGGTTAAAAAGGGGAAGAAAGTGTGTATGGAAATTCGTTGTTTTTGAAGCTAGAACAATGAAACTTTCTTCTTTGGCTTTGAGAATAGGAGTGGGAGTGGGAGTTAGAGTAGGAGTGATATAAGGTGAGAGTGTTGCGGCAAGGTAGCGCTAACAACATAGATTGACAGCCTTAAATCCTTACATACATTAATAAACAGCCTACTAATTAAACATTCTATCCCAAGTCACGCAGACAAACGCGGGCACAGCTAGCATTTTATAAGTAAGTCATCAAAGCTACTAACATGAAAAAGAAAGAAATATATAAAGGAACACAAAATGAAGTGAACTTTTATTGAGATAACAACTGTGCTGCAGTGTTATTTTTATCGAGAGCTAAGAGGAAATACAATCTCTATTAATAGAATATCTTGACGGCTTATGAAAATAATTATTTCAGTTCTACAATACTATAAAACGGATATGTGAAACAATAAAACGTTTCAGATGTTTAATCATGTATTAACATGATTTTCACGTTCAATAATTCAATTTCTTTGTTAAAATATAGAACAACATTTAAATAAAACACTTCAATGGTTTACAACGCGATATATTAGTTAAACTTACTAGAAAATGATTTTTAACTTCTAATAAGTTTAACTAATATATCGCGTTTTAAACCGTTAAAGTGTTTTATTTAAAGTCAAAGTCAAAATCATTTATTCATGTAGGTAACTATGTACACTTATGAACGTCACAAAATAATTAAAGAATCTAACTTTACATTTATTACCAGTTCTTTTGAGAACTGGTAATAAATGTAAAACGAACGAGAAGAACTGGCAATAAACTCGCCGTCACTCCTTTTATCGCCAAGATTCATTTTACATTCTTGATTTACTTTTAGTGCACTACATATTTTTCCTTGTAAGAGCGGGTTCCTTCACACCCCAAGCATTTTTATCATTTAAATATTGTTTAACGTCATAATAACCCTTTTCAAGCAGTTTTTGTTTTACATAGAATTTAAACTTATTTATTGAGAGTGCTTGCACTTCGCGGAAGGTTTTATTAAAGTATCGTATGCAGTTACCTTGAAAAGAACTACTACCTTTATAGAGCCTTTTGTTTGGGACACTTATTTTGTCCTTATTACGTGTATTGTACTGATGAAAGCTGCCGTTAGTTTTAAAAGTATCTACGTTTTTCCTCACATACAAAACATTTTCATAGATATATTGACTTGCTTGCGTTAGGATATTCAATGCTTTAAACTTATTTCGAATATCTTATTTCAAATGTGTACTATTCGCGTAAACTATAGACAATATAGAATATATAGAATTTGCCTGGCTCGTTGGTCTAATGGTAGCAATATAAGGCGAATTTCCATATTAACAAACCGGGAATAAATACTGTCTATAGTTTACGGGAGTACACATTTAAATAAAACTCTTTAACGGTTTAAAACGCGGTATATTAGTTAAACTTATTTGAAAATGATATTTAACTTTGGCCCGACGTTTCGGATGCTTTGCAGCAGCCGTGGTCACGGGGAGACTTAAATGTTCATTAAATTTTCAAATTGTTTATAAAATTTTCAAATCGTTTATTAAAGTTAATGAATGTTCCGTTGTATGCATGTAAAAACATTTACTTTCTTAAATACTGTCAGTAGTTTACGCGAGTAGTGCACATTTAAATAAACCACTTAAACGGTTTAAAACTGTAAAAAGCCACGGCTGCTGCAACGCTCATTTACTAATATATAGCGCGTTTTAAACCGTTGTAAACTACAGTATTTTATTTAAATGTATATTCTTAGAAAAAAAATGTTTGTACCGATTACGACTAAAGAACATAATTTATTTGGCACAAACCAATGTATATGTCCAAATGTGTGAAACCCCGTTTCCCCCTCGTGGGGCATGGGGCCAACACAGTTCTGTGTCCGTTCCACTGATCCGATCTTTAACAGGCAAGTAGTTGATCAGACTTCTGTGCCCTGCCTGACCGAAACAATTTTTTGTTTCTCCGGGATTCGAACCCAGGTCCTCTCGCGCTTAACGCAATACGTTTAACCATTAGGCTACAGAGGCGGTCCAAATAGTAACAATAAACAGCTGAAATATGCGTTACGCAAATAAAAAAAAACACTCACCTATCGTGGTCAACGCCAGCGTACACCAATAATAGCTCTGTAGATACTGCTTCACCACGTCCGCGGTCTCCGTATCGTGGTACACCCAGTTTTTACTACCGAACCCATTGTTTTTATATATTATATGGTACAAGCACCCGTTCCAATGAAATATCACTAGTAAATAATGAATTAAACTAGTCGACCTGAACAGGTTAGGATAGTTCGTGTGGCGTTCAGTTCGGTCCATGAAAGCCCAGAAACGGTAGATCTTCACGAGTCTAAAGGATCTGAGGATCGAGTTGAACCCGATGGACAAGTAGAGAAAGTCCAACGGCAATAAACATAAGCAGTCAATGTAAAAGGTGGTTGAATTCATGTAATGGGCGCGCAGTTTCGCCGGTTCGGTCTGCAAAACACCGTCTTCTAAATAACCGGTACGGAAGTGAAACAAGATGTCCGCCAAGTATAGGAAGTCCGAAAAGTAGTCTAAACAGAACCAGACTATCAAGGTTTCACCTGGAACAAAGGAATGTTGGATTAATTTGTATGTCTGTCTATCCATGTATGTGTGATAGCTTAAAATTTTAAATATATTTTTATGAACAAATTGCCTAACATTATACTACGTAGCATGTATACAATTAAATTAAATGAACATATTGACGTCGAATAAAAATTCACTGAAATGAAGATAATGTTCTTAAAAGCAAGAATATATTAAACTTGTTATTGTTATATTATTACTTAGTGAAGTTAGAGTTCAAGACGCGCTTATTGTTGTTGTAAAATACCACTTATAAAAATAAAGCTTCTTACACGAAGAACTTGAAGTTTTATATCGTATCTATATAAAGTAACAAGAATGTTTGTTTTCAAAATACATTTAGCAAAGAAAAGGGAATTTGCGTGAACAATTCAACAAATAATACTCTCGTTAGCTATGCTGTCCAATAACGTTGCATTAATCTAAGTTACTTTCTTAAGTGGATGTAAAATTTGCATTAAAATAAGTCGAATTCTTTTTGTTCACTCTTGAATTGAATCTTTTCATATCGCCCCAATGAAAATCGAAGATAGAAGTAAAAAAATCAAGCTAGCCAAATCGGAAAAACTCGCTCGAAATTCAAATAAATGAATCGATGAGGAAAAATACAGTTTACTGAGAAAACAATGATTATTGACAGCGGCGAAGTCTTTCATTTGATTCTAAGTAATTTTATTCATCAAAGTTTTTGATTTATTCATTGAATTGTTGCAAGCGTTGTGTGAATACACATCACAACCTATGCTAGCAGCTTTTGTTATAGTTACTTTGTCTAATATAGGATGACACTTTTGAACATTGACAATAAAAGGAAATAAGGTCATTTGAAATCTATTCAATCAATATGGTTTTTTTACAAGTTGAAATGTTTTATTTTTTATTAATTGTATGATGGTATAGAAGGACATTAATTCTAATCGTTCTAAACAGATTTTATATATGAGGCTGCTAGAGGCAGAGTGGCCTAATAAAAAAACATGATTTTCAATGAGGAAAATAAAAATGCGCAATTAATTAAGGCCAAAGTGAATTTGTACATTTATTTGTGCAAGAATTATGTTAATAATTTTCGGTCACTGTGCTCTTGTAGCACTTTTAGACTGAAAATGTAGATACGTCATATAATAATATTGTAGTTAGGCTACTCTGTCTCTAGCGGCCTCATATTATTATCTATTCATGGAATAGTACTAAAATTTTGATGTATAAACAGATAAACTGCCAAATTACGGCTGCTTGTAAGAAAATGTATAATTACTGCCATTTAATCTTATTTATCTTAGATCAAGACAATTCAGTAGACGATGGGGTATTATAGTCTTAGATAATCCCGTCCACTGCGCTCGGGAACTGTCAAACTCGTCACTCTATCATAGACAGCGTATAGTTCTTACCATTAATTTCTTGAAAGGCAAATCTATATACAATGACCCAAAGGTTGTATAGGAAGGCGAGTGAGACGACCATCGACCAGTAGTAGCAGAGACGGCCGGCGGGGTCAAAAACAAAGGAGAACGATAAGCCGAAACCGAACCGTCCGCTCGTGTACGTCGATCTTCGGCGAAGATTTCTGCTTCCACTGAAACAATTAAAACAACGACGAGTTAAATTAAATTGCTTATGAAAGAATATAATTGATAAGTAGTGAAATTATATCCTCCTATTTACGTCACTAATTACAGTTACCAAATACTAACAAAGCTGTTGTTTTATGATAAAGTACAGACGAGCATGTTGTCACTTGAACATAAGTCAAATACCAGATATCAAGATGTCGTCTAATCAAGATTCTACCTTCTTTTTACTGATGGTGTGAAGGCCTAATGCACGCCCACGTCGGACATTGTGGGGAGTGTGGTAAATCGTATAGCTGACCAGAACCAATAAACACACCACCAACCCTCTACGGTGCTTATTTTATAAAACAATTTCAACGGTTTAAAACGCTTACGTAAATGAACTGACTTGATATGCACTAATCGCATTACCTGCAGATAAAATTCTATTTATTCTCGTTATTAGTAAATATAGTTATTATATAACTGATGTTAATACGCCACTTGACGTTGATGACGATTACGATGGATTCTGATTATATTAATTATTATCGAAATAATTAGTGGTCGAACCACTATTGTCAATGGATCATTTCAATTACGAACTAAGGGTACTGACTAGATGCCACCATTGTAATATGTTACACGTCGAACGTTCATGTAGTCGTTTCGACCCAATTTTCAGAAATTTTTAATTGTATCAATTTTGATAAAATATATTTTTTAAATAAACACCCGTAACGGTATAAAACTCGATATATATGAGTTAACTTATTCATAACGCATTTCGGATGCTCTGCAGCAGCCGTGGTTACGGTTAAAAGGAAAGTCTCACCAATGTCAACGTCAACGCGTCGTATCGTGCCGCAGTTAAATTATAAATATATATCGCATTTTAAACCGTTAATTGTGTTATATTAAAATACTTACTATTCACGTAAAGTGCAGAGAATACTTAAATACAACTGTATTTACTAACAGCCTTTGAAGTAGATTATCCCGGTTACCTAACTTAGTAAAGCTTAGTTAGTGTCGTAAAGAATACTATTAACAATATTAAAATTCTGATTAAGTCGGTTTTGATTATTGTACTCATTATTCTGTTTAAAAAAAGCCCGGTCAAATTTAAAAATACAGGTAAGATGTCAATAATGCACTGAAGGTTGAAAATTTCCAGCAATCATGGCAACATTAAAATTTGACAAAAATCGTATTGTAAAAAACATCAAAGTGAAATTCAACGTATTTAAATTTTCATCTAAACGACGATTCTATGATAGAAATAGTACTGAATTTTAATTATTAAATTTTTCGTTTCAACGTTTTAACGATTTCGTGTAACTTTGAAATGTATATCAAGCTGGATCAAATGACATTTCTGTAAAATGAACATAATCTTTTAAATGTACATATGTACATAGTCTTTTAAACTAAGTGAGGCACCAATTAATTTTAAAAGACTATTAATAAGTAAAAGTAAACGCAGGTTGAGTAACATTAAACAACTCGCACTTATTAGACGAAAGAAAGATCCATCCGGGATCCGACGTGAAAATTCGTATCTTTTGGCTCTGCCGTTATTTTGAACAAAGTTTAAAAGCAGTGACGTCACTAGCTCATAACAAGATGGACGGCGTTTGACGGCTCATTATTTTATCTTTATTTCTACTTTCAATTACTTGTTACCTATTTATTATTTTTAATGATGACATCAAATAGAAAAAATCTATTTTCTTTTCTGAAAATTACCTATTCTTTCCAACTTGCTATGTAAACTTTTACGATGTACCTTTGGCTTTGATTATTATTCCTTACACCTGCCCACTTAATAATTATTTTTCTTTTCATCTGTGCTTCAGGTTGCCTGGAAGAAATCGCTGCTTAGCGATAAGGCCGCCTTCTATTTATAAGTAAGTATCATTTTCCTTTTGTGGTATGTCTTATAAATAGTAAAGCTATAATAATAAATAAATAAAATAAATATTTTACTTCCCGATTACTAATGGATGGAAGCTTTAGACGTTGACAGGACCTTTTTGCTACAGGACGTTTTTAGACATTACCTATCTGTTCCATTGCAATTTGAAGCTAGATGGTTGTGTGAATGATGCGGTGCTGGTGTGGCGGGCGCCCGCGGCGTCTGCGGCGTACTACGCCAGCCGCCCAACAACGGCGCTTCGCCGCTGGCGCCCAGCAATTTTAACCTGTCGGAAAACACTATTTATTATGCTGTTTTTTCAAGATGATTTACAAAAATGGCTGACTTATACATTGTAGCTACTGGACTAACGCGTGTTTCAAAAACCATACCGTCCTATTACTGGTTTAAATACATATAATTAGTTTCTAACTCTTCAAAGATTGCGGCGATATTGAAAGAAAGAAATTGACAATAAATTTAGGTACTTGAGCAATAGACGTTACACACCAACATATGTATATTTCTACAGTATTAATCTTTTTTACTTAATGAATACTATAGTTACTTGCAATAAATCAATTAAACTGCCATCGTATTGTGTCATAACATTTTATATTTAAATAAAACGCTTTAAGGGATTAAAACGCGAAATATATTATGGCCCTAAGTTTCAGATGCTTTACAACAGCCCTAAAATATCAACTCGTATTATATTTCGCGTTTCAATCGGTTCATATATTTTATTTAAATGTACAACTCGCGTAAATTGCATATTAAAAATAAATGGTATATTTATAATAGCTATCTTATGGAAAAGCTAATAAGAATAACTTCCAAATGCATATTAAAAATAAATGATATATTTATAATAGCTATCTTATGGAAAAGCTAATAAGAATAACTTCCAGACAATAATTTTTGAACGCAAAATTCATCTCTGATATTGTCGAGAATAAAGTCTACAATTTTGAATATCACTTGTAAAATATAACATTTCAGTAGATTTTAACAATAAGACACTTCGTTATGGCTCTGTAAAAATTCAAAAGACAACATTGTATCGTGTTTCATTATTCCAACGCGATCGCTGTAAATTTAATTGGAAAACTTTCTGAAGCTTGCACCATGTTATTCTACCTATAATAAACGATGTTTTATAATTATAACTGAGTGGAAATCTATAATAATGTTATATTTATCTTTCAGATACAAGTATTTTCACGCACGGGACGCTATGGATGCCGGTTCGAGACCCGCTCAAAGATTGTTTTAAATTTATCTATCTATTTTGACATTACAATAATAAACAAAAATCCTTGTAATAACACTGTATGTAAAAAATCATTTGGAAATATAGACTAAATGAAAACAAGAATTAAAAAGACAGTGGTTCGTGCGGATTTCGATGTTTCTTCCTACCACCCATTTTGTATTAGGATTTTCAAGACAAAGTCTAACATGTTTCGGAATACATACATAGATTTTTTTAATTAAATATTGGTTCTAGTGGAAATCGGACCCACAACTCGTTACTGCCATTAATTGCTACCATTACACCAATAAGAAAGAGATTCTATTTTATATCAACTTTAATATACTTATAGTTATTTTTTAGTTTACTCGAGTAGTGCACATTTAAATAAAACTAGTTCAACTGTTTAAAACATGAAATACATTTAATTTACTTTACATTTATTTTACTAGCCCTCGTCCGCAATGCCGAAACCACGACTGCAAAGCAAAACCTTAAAACCGTAATTAAAATAAGCTATGTAATACATTTCAGGTTTCAACCCGTTACAATTATATACGTATACAAGTAACGCGGAAGAGAAACGTTATATCGATCTACTAAGTACTATTCTCCGTAAGAGCTTCCCGTATCAGCGAGAATTAATTACTGTATTATGAATTATTTGTTGGCTGCAACAGCATTAAGGATTCACAGCGGATGCTGCATGTACCTCGTATATTTATGGTAATAGCATAGATTCTGAGATCCTTTTGTGATGGCAACATTAATTTCCTTAATGTAAAACCACGGAACCGAAATACAAATCTATATAAACGCGATACAATAGAATAAATTGTATCACGATGTTAGTCTATAGAGTATATACGAATACACTCATTGTTTCCCGCGTCCCCTTCCGGGGTATGGGGTAGGCACATCTCATCGAATTTATTGACAGGCAAGTAGGTTGTAAGTAGAACAGCTTTGCGCCTTTTCCCGCTTCTAACGTGTAATAATTTGATTACAATAACGAGAATCGTTGTTGGATTTGAAACTGATTAATCTATACTAATATATAAAGTTTAAGAGTGTGTTTGTTTGAACGCGGTCATTTCGGGAACCACTGGTTCGATTTGAAAAATTAGTTTTGTGTTAAAACATTTATTGAAGGAAGCTATAGATTTAAACATCGTGCTGTGACTAATAGGAGCGAAGAAAATTTCCGCGATGCTAGCTTAAATTTATAAAGATGAAGAAAGGGTTTGTAAAAACAACCTTTGATGTCTCAAAATAACTATCCTACGCTGACACAGCTAGTGATAATATTAATGACACTTTTATACCGTTTTAAACGCGGTCTATTGAACGTTGTAATTATTCAACCCTATTGCGTGTTTTAAGCCGTTAAAGTTTTATTGAGTCTTTATCATTTGCGTAAACCGCAGATTCCGTTAAAACAAGATGAAAAGTGGTTGAATACATTGAATTAGAAATATATATCGTTCTGGAGTTCAATCGACTTAGCAGCACGTGAGCAACGGGCAAAAATTGGTTTTTCAAATGCCGTCGACACCGAGGGTTGAGGGATAAGGCTACGGTCTCCTATAAATACCACAGACAATATACAATATACACATAATGTTTATAAAATATTGTTGTCCCTTTCTATGATGTCTACTGATGTCACGATCTTTTAGGCATATAATGATTTGCGCGGCGCAGGAGCATGTTAAATGTCATTATTTCATTAACAATAAAAACGAACTTCATTCGTTGACTATTGTTGTACACGACACATAATTCTTTACGCTTACTGACAGAGCAATAAAAAAAAACACGACATAACACTGACCACCTGAAGTACATAACATCGACGTGTGTGGCGAAGCGTCTTCGTCCTTGTCATGTCGTGTCTAGATTTAGACATCAAGCACTGTTAATAATAAGTTTAAATCGTATGTAAAACAAAACCTTGGAAAGGGTTATTATGACGTTAATCAATATTAAACGACAGAAATGCCTGGCGTTTGGAAGAACCTACTCTAATGAATGAATGAAACCTCTCGATAAAAGGAGTGGTGGCGAGTTTCTTGACAGTTCTTCTCGTTCGTTCTGCGCCCATGATTTGAGAATTGACTGTTAATGTAAGTTTAGTCTTGAGATTCTAACTGGTGTGACGAAAAGTGTACCTAAATTAATTAAGGAATTTGATTATAACCATGATTTTGGCTGTAAATTTCTCTCGTGTCGAAATTATAATATAGGAAACCAAAGCCTTAAGCTCGCTCCTAACTGTCGCTCTGTGAAATGAGATATAAACCGCTGGAAAATGTGACCCGATGCAGGCGTCGACGCTTCCCTTCTATGACACCCAATAATGGTTGTATAAATGCTTTGAATCGTAACATCTCAACGGATTTAAGAGCGTTTCAACGGAGATCGACGAATTTTATATATGACGTGATTTTACCGCCATTTGTGCTCGAAATTCGACTAACTTCTTTACGTTTTATAATTTTTGCGTTTGTTAGATTTGGACTGTACTCATACAAAATATCTTGTGCTATATCTTTACAACTTAATATTTAGTAGAACAATTAATAAAATTTTGACATTTTTTTTTACATTATACAAAGTAATTGAACACTTTCGACGGTTTAAAACTTGATATTAACTTGCCTGTAAAACCCGATCAGTGAGATGGATACACATCGCCCATGCCCCACGGGGGGAAAGGGGATTTCACTGTTAAGAGAATAAACACTTACGAGGAGTCCTGGGGTACTTGCTCCTATCAGTTGTTCTCTTGGAACCCTATTGGGTGAACCCTTATAATTAAGGTACTCTTAAAGTAAGGGTTCTTGCCTCAACAAACAAGAGACCCTCGAAGCCAGCACTTGATGCCGCCCTAATAGGCCGCACGTTAACCTCCTTCCGTTCAGCTAATTTATAATTCCCGAAAATGGGCTCTTTGTCATATTAACAACATTTCAAATATTGTCCCGTGGAGAGAAAGAAAAGAAAAGAGTAAAAAGAAACGCTCTTTCCATATTACTCAGAAAGATTAGTTTTGGATTGCAATAGAATATGGCAAAATTGAATAAACCATCAACTAAGACATTTTAACGGTTTAAAACGCTAAATATTGGTTATATTATCAACAATTCAAACATTGTCCCGTGGACTCAAGTAAAACGAAATTCCCAATTTACACTACTAAGAAAAATTAGTTTGTTTTGGATTAAAATAAAATATAACAAAATTCAAACACTATTAAATCAATAAAACTTTTAACGGTTTAGAACGCGAAATATATTAGTTAACTTGTTTACTCTACATTTAATTATAACGTTTCGGATGCTTTGCAGCAGCCTTGCAGATTTAACTCCTTTTGAACATTTGACTTTGACATTGGGGACACGCTCCTTCAATCCCTCCGTGACCACGGCTACACCGATCCGGCACTTCAAGATTAACCGACAATAACTGTTTTTATTTGTAATCAACTAATGGTCGACAAGACAAGAGAACGGTTGCCAGGTCAGCTAGTAAATAAATAAATATATAAAGAAAGTACTCTGAACTGAATCCCCATTGTCTCCTGCTAGATACGATTAGCTGGAAGATAGAACAGGACAATATATTATCTGGTTTATCGTTGACAGCTCCATTTTGGAGGATATAAAAATAATATCGCTTTAACATTGCACAGAACACTCCGACTCGAGGAAAATGCGACAAGCGTAAAAAGTAGCTGGGATTTTCCTTTGGAGAATATCCAGATACGGTATTATTAGTAAAAAGACAAAATTATTTATTACACTAGTTGTTTTAACAAATATTACTTTGCCATATGAAGCATTTGGACGAAGTTCGATTACCATAAAAATGGTTCTTGTGAATTAATCTTAAAATAATGAATAAAACACTTTAACGGTTTAAAACGCGATATATTAGTTAAACTTATTTGAAAATGATTTTTAACTAATATATCGCGTTTCAAACCGTTAAAGTGTTTTATTTAAATGTGTACTACTCGCGTAAACTATAGACAGTATTTAAAATAATGACTTATACTGTCTGTTTGTGCTTGTCTGTTCTTTAAATTTCATATTTTTGTAGATAATTTAAATAAGAATAATTCTTTGCTATACATATATTTTGGATATCTTAAACGGTATTCGCAGCGCACGCATGTAAACCCTTAATGTTTTATATCCTGAAGCTTTCCGCGATAAATGTTCTAAACACAAAAATAATTTTAAAATTCGAACCATTATTACCTGAAATTAATGCGTTCAAAAAAACTAAAAATAAACCGTTTAGCTTTAAAATACTAGTATAGATAAACCGTAATTATAATACATTTATCTCGTAAGTCTAAATGTTTTTTACACGTGACTCCAGATAGCGAAGGTCAGGGTTTGAATCCGGTCGAGGCTATCATCAATACACATATAAGGTTTGTAACAATTACACACATGGACGTTAAAAGGCCGTGTGTTCGAGCCTCACTCGAAACCATTATTTTCAACATTAAATAAGTTGAAAACTTTGTACTATTGATTTCAACGGGCAGATATAGATTTCATAAGTCCTCTTAAAGTTGGCCACTCAATTATTTTGCTCAGAATTTGTTAATATCGGCGCGAAACTTCTGGAAACTTCGTCCCATTAGCAATATTTTCGTGCGCACTGGGAGGTTTTAATAAAGACTCGATTCACATAAAGCGTTTGAATAAAATAAAATAAATCTACCGTTTAAAACGCGATATATGAATTCTGAATTACTACAACTTTGAATTCTTTGCACCACCTTGATCGCTGCTAACGACTAATATACTTCGCAATTAAAACCGTTAAAAGCGTTCTGTTTGAGTGTACTTTTCGCATAAACTATAGATAATACTTTAGACTTTAAATAAAGTACTAGTATGTTTCCACTGACTCGTTTGATAAATATTCATAAAACACTGTTAAAAAAACGATGCATATAGTTTCTCCTTTTTATAGTAAGTAATAAAAAAAGCAATAAAATTTTCCCTAATTTTAAATTGGACGCGTTATGTATATTTATTGGTTTATATTATGCAGCACTAAGTTTTTTAGCCGCTTCAAACTAGCAAGACTTAACCAGTTTTCTTCTGCAAATAACAATTACGAGGGACAGATGGCGCTAGCTCAGCAAACTTGACATTTGAGACGACCACCATGTTTGTTCGCCCTCATGACAACTTCTGAGCTAAGACATGCCACAAATTCTTTTTGTAGTTAAATATAAAATTATAATAGTTTATATGTTTAAAACCTTTAAAAGTATTTTTATGTGTAAATAGTTAAAGAAATAAAATAAATAAATTAGCTTTTGCGATCTTTTAAATAAAACACTTTAAGGGTTTAAAACACGATATATTTTAGTTAAACTTGTTTGAAAATTATTTTTTAAATAAGGCCCAACCACGTGACCACGGCTGCTGCAAAGTATCCGATCAAGCCGTAGTTAAAAAATTTATATTTTTCAAACAAGTTTACTAAATTATGTCGCGTTTTAAACCGTTAAAGTGTTTTTTTCAAATGTGTATGACTAGCGTAAGCTACACACAGTATTTTTGTACTTATCTCGATCACCATCTTTTCGGATCATCAGATAATATCAGACAATAAACAGAAGCCTCTAAACTGGCCAAAAAAGTCTGTTTTTTTGTAAACCGTTGTGACTTGTGACACCCGCAGAATATTAACCAATTTCGAACTAACTTTAAATTAACAATAAACAATTTAATAGTATTAACTAATAAAAATACAGATAAATGTACTATCTAGCATGGTTCGACTTAAGTAGTCACTGTCTGCCCATGCATGTTACAGAATCCTGAAGAAAACTGTAAGTAAAAATGATACAGTAGAAATTCCATTCGTCTAAAATGAAACGAACCAACGACAACAATCAATACTTCCCGAGTCTCAACACGGGCTTAGAATACTTCGCTTCTATAGTACTTATTATAACAAATAGGTGCTCAAGGAAACAAAAATTCTTTCCAAGTTCAGTACAAAACTATAATTCTTACTATAACTATTTTACATTCAAACTGCAAGCAACATAATAATTAAGCTGGAGAGTTTGTTTGACCGCGCTAATCTAAGGAACTACTAGTTCGAAATAAAAAAATAGTTTTGTACTGGATAGACCTTTTATCAAGGAAGGCGATGCTGCGATTAAATAAAACAATTTTGACGGTTTAAAACTGGCCTAAGGGGGTAGGCCTCCGCGTGACCACGGATTCTGCAAAGCATCCGTAACGTCGAAGCGTAGTTAAAATAATTTATAAATAAGGTTAACGAATACATTTCATTTTAAATCGTTAAAACTGATTTAATTATATATGTACTAGTCGCGTAAACTACAGACAGTAAATCATGCTGCGCCCAATAGGAGAGAAGAAACAGAGAAAGAGAAAAAAATTATACATCTTTAAATGTGTCCGTTGCGAGAACAAACACGGTTCGAGAAAACAAAGAGAAGTATGTACAAAAGAATGATTACCTTATTTTTTTTCCTTTAATTATGTAACAAAAAATCCGCGACAGTATATGTGTATCTTTAAAGCATAATTATCATTTACTAGCTGTGGCCGCAACTTCGTCCGCCTGGAATAGTGACTTGGGGTAGAATTTTTAATTATTTAGGCTGTTAATTAATTTAAATAAGCATTTAAGGTAGCCGATCTATGTTGTAAGTGCTACTTTGCCGCAATACTCTCACCTCATACCACTCCTACTCTAACTCTCACTCCCACTCCTATTCCCAAAAAGCCAAAGAAAAAGTTTCATTGTTCTAGCTTCAACAAACGAATTTGCATACAAACTTTAATCCCCTTTTTTCAACCCCTATCAACCCTTGTTTGGCATTAAAAAGTCTATGTCCTTTCTCGGGCTCTAAAATATATGTGTACCGAATTTCATGTAAATCAGTTTTGTAGTCTCAGAGTTAAAGCTTGACAGACAGACAGACAAGCAGAGTTACTTTCGCATTCATAATATTAGTATAGATTTGTAAGAGTTGTATAAACGTATTAATCTTGCAAACAACAAAACATTTGCATGATCAACTAGTTAATTATAAATGTTTATTTGAATATCCGACCTTTTATACATATTTCACTTTAAAATTTGTTCAGTGTTTCATTTAAATTGATTGGTTATTTGTTTTATTTAACAAAATATACAACATAAATATTTTATTCACGTATTCGTTCTAGGAAAGTTCAAATTGAAAACCGTTTAGGTAACAATATATTTTTTAAGTACGTACTATCAATTCTTTATGTTATAGGCGTGTATTTTTGTAAAACCTTTCATATATAAATGATTTTTTTAAAAATCTATACTAATGCAGAGTACTGAAAAGTTGTTTGTTTGTTTGAACGCGCTATTCCCAGGAACTACTGGAGGACTACGGCCATATGTTGAGATGAAAAACAAAAATGGACAAAACCATAAGTGAATGGTATCCTAGGGAAAGAAAAAGAAGTCCAGGACGCCAGATTAAGTGCTGGGAGGATGACTTCAAGAAATAGCTGGCACAAGATGGCCAAGAGCAGCAAGGGACAGGCAAGCATGAAAAAGTTTAGAGGAGGCCTTTGTCAAAGGACAACCTGTTTGCAAAACATAAATATTAAAAAATAATGTATTATATAGTTTAAGTTAAGCATATAGCAATTAGATATAAAGAAAACTCATGGTATTTGAACTTTTTAATAGCAATAAAGGCTATAGTTTAATGAAAATATCGCTGTTCTAAATAGTTATGTTTTTCTAAATAATCAAAACTTTTTACATGACATAGCAACATATATTTTTGTTCAATAAATAAATAATTAAATGTGCAATAACATTAAAGTTTTCAAATATTCTTTCCTCCTTCTAATTCTTACCTAGCTTTATGAGCGCGTCGTGCGCGTGCGCTGAGATCCAGCTCGCTAGCGGCGGCGGAGCACGCTGTCCCGGGCTGCAGCGACCCTCGCGAACCGCCCAGCCGCCGAGATCCCAGCCGACATGTCATCATATCTACCAACAAATATACAAATGTTTTATCTTGGAAAAATAAAGGTTTTGCCGAAAATCCGTGCTATAGTAGCCAACAACTCTGCAACTTATACGTATATATATTTTTAGCATCCATTTTCTTCTAGTTCACTTTAACCTCCTAAACTATTTGGTTAAATTCTTGAATAAAACTGCTGCAAAGCATCCGAAACGTCACTCTTTAGTTAAAACATTTTTCAAATAAGTTTATCTAATACTAGCTGTGTCAGCTACTTCGTCCGCGTAGAAGTACTTTTGAACATCCACTTTGCCCACGACCCATCCCGTCGTTCTTACAAATTTAATCTTAAACGATAGACATATAGCGTGGAAAGTAACTCTGTCTGTTACTCTTTCACGCCAAAACTAATGAACGGATTTCAATGAAATTTGGTACAATAGGCTATACGCTTTTATTGCGAAAAGGGGGTTGTAAGGGGTTTAGGGGGGGGGGGGGTGAAAGTGTGTATGGAAATTCATTGTTTTTGAAGCTAGAACAATAAAACCTTCTTCTTTGGCTTTTTGGGAATGGGAATGGGAGTGAGGTTGGGAGTGGGAGTTAGAGTAGGAGTGATGCGAGGTGAGAGTGTTGCGGCAAAGTAGCACTTACAACATAGATTGGCTGCGAATTCTACCCCAAATCACTATTCCACGCGAACGAAGTCGCGGGCACAGCTAATGATGAATAATTTTCCCAATTCACATTTCTCGCTGTATCTTCGCTTGTATTAATCACAGGGCGATATATTACATGTATACTTTATAGCTTATACGCTTTATAGCTTATAGCCTTCCTCAATAAATGCTCTAACCAACATAAAAAAAATGCATTCGAACCTATAGATCGTGAGATAACCGCGTTCAGACAAACAATCTCTACAGCTTTATATATTAGTATAGATATATCTCGTTTTAAACCGTTGAAGTGTTTTATTTAAATTTGAAAATAAGTCTAACTACTTAATAAATTTCGCGTTTCAACCATTAAAAGTACTTTATTTAAATTCGCGTAAACTACAATATCTATTAATTTTGTTCAAACACAACAGATTTTTAGTATTGATTAAAGCTAATTTCATTTAGTTGGTATATAACCAATATTTTAAAACAAAAAGCCTCCGTAATTCGACTTATTTGTCTCTCTCAAAGTACAAGGTGAGGTAGGTAAAGGAAATTCAAAATGTCAGTATCATTAAACATCAATTGAAACTAAATAAAGAATTTTGCACATTTCGCAAACGAGAACGGATAAGTGAACGAAAACAAGACAATGAAAGCGAGCCATCTTGTGAAGCGAAATAAATCGAATAATGTCTATTCTTGCCTCTGCTCTTTTTATAAACTGTCGTTCACAATTTGGTTCATTGGGGCGTCCTCTCCCCTAAAGATCCGGTCCAAATTACTGGCTTCAAAGAATCTTGGAGCGAACATTAAAACAAGTAGCTATACGCGAGTAGTACACATTTAAATAAAACACTATTAACGGTTAATAAAATGTATAAATAAGTTTAACTGCTACATTTCGCATTTTAAACCGGTACAACTGATTTATTGAAATCAATAAGTAGAATGTAGAAGCCAATAAGTTCGAGGATTAGCGCTTTTTACTTAAATCACAATTTATTTATTTTTCCTTTGTAGGACTCCCTTTTTAAGACAATCATGAAGTTGAATCAATCAATCAATTGAAGGGAGATGACACCTCAAACATATCACATATCATTAAGATGACAATGCATCTTGCACCAGTGTTATCTTAACACGTTATCGTTAAGGATGCCGATTTAAGTCCTGCCCGTGTCGAAATTTTCACGCTAAAATCTATTTTTAATTTCAGTGTTTATATCAAATGTTAATAAAACATTTTTACGGTTTAAAACGCGACATATATTTTTTAACTTCAGTAACTATGGGGCCGACGATTTCTTTTAGGGTTCCTTCAGTATCTACTAGTTCAGTATCGAGGTGAATAATTTGAAACCAATAATTCCTGTGGTTTAAAATTTTAATGATAGGGTACGACTGCAAATCACCAAGATTGGTTTCAATTTGAACCAAAGCCACGATTAAACGTTCACTGTTTCTGGTTTACATTGTTGTGTGAGGTTTAAACTGTGGCGTAGCCCATAGTTAAGCTATATGGGTACAGTAGATGATAAAAGGTAATTGGCCAGGTCAACCACAACAGACTGGGTGGACAAAAGGCTGATAAAATGTCAATTGTCACACTGTTGGTGACCCCAGCCATCTAAATAGAATGCGTTGTCTTATTTTTGCGATAACATTCTAATAGATCTAAATAAAACACTTTAACGGTTTAAAACGCAATATATTAGTTATACTTATTTAAAAATGATTCTTAACTTCGGCCCGACGCTTTTTAAAAACTCTGGATCCCAATAAACAGCAACCGGCAAACGCTAAGACACCGTTAGTAAATTCTGCAAGGATCCGGCCAGTTTCACCAAATACCAACTTCGACGGAACAGATGGCGCTAGCGTAGCAATTTTTTACTTTGACGTCAGACACATCCTCTATCTTTAGTCTACCCGTGACCACGGCTGCTGCAAAGCATCGAAACGTCGGGCCGAAGTTAAAAATCATTTTCAAATAAGTTCAACTAATATATCGCGTTTTAAACCGTTAAAGTGTTTTATTTAAATGTGTACTACTCGCGTAAACTATAGACAGTATTCTAATAGAACCTATTTCTACATTTTTTAAATTAAATTTGCCTTTTTGACATATGGTTAACACGTGAGGTCCTAGGTTCGGATCTCGGAGGAACGATACATTTCGATTCTTAAGAGCACGAAAGAGCACACAATTCGCACTCAGACAACGGACGGACAAATGTGTTCGGCCCATGCTCCACTGGGGGATTCTCTACTTTGCACTACTTTTAAATGCTCCATTCGACATTACAACCGGTGCGTAGAGCTTCTTAATATTTTTAAGCTCTACTAAACCCAAGAAAATTTTGAATTTCCAAGATTCGAATCCGGTAATTCTTCTGCTCAATGCAATGCAGTTAATACAACTTTAGTGAAAATAATGATATGAACGTAAAAGAATACAGACTAGTGAATAAAATAGTTATTCTTGGCACTGTAACAAAAGGAATGAAGGAGATGCTTTATTACCGTTTAATTAAAATAAGTTCTTTTACTCATTTTAAATCCACACTTAACGTTCTCAAGGAAGATTTTACGATTGAAGTTACAGTTGCTGGTGGGAAAATGCTGTCATAGTGTAGTTTAAAATAGACAACTTTAACAGTTTGAAACAAGAAATATATTCGTTAGTAGATGACCCGGCATACGTGATTCGTTGCTTGCAAGATTCATATCTATTCATTTATTTATACTGTATTTCACAACACACACACACAATTACAATGACCAAAATAAATTATATCTATACATATACTGTGGAGTGTAACGGGCGGCCTCATCGCTATTAAGCGGTCTCTTCAAGACAACCTTTCTTAGAAATATAATATTATTATGTTGATAAATCGAACAAAAACTTGGTAGTAACGCATTAATTTACCATTTACCATACGTACATATATTAACGCATGAAACGTCGGGCCGTAGTTAAAATATATTGTAAATAAGTTAACTAATACATTTCTCGTTTTAAACCAAGTGTTTTATTTATAGCCTTTTAAACTTGCTAAAACTATAGTCCCACAGTTGCAGCAAAGTATCCGCAACATAAGTTCATAAGTCATAATAAAAAAATTTGTAAGAACAATAATATCTATACTGTCTATAGTTTACGCGAGTAGTACACATTTAAATAAAACACTTTAACGGTTTAAAACGCTCCCCGTGACCACGGCTGCTGCAAAGCATCCGAAACGTCGGGCCGAAGTTAAAAATCATTTCCAAATAAGTTTAACTAATATATCGCGTTTTAAACCGTTAAAGTGTTTTATTTAAATAATATCTATGTTCCCTTCCTTCTTTGAACAATTTTATTGAAGTCCCGGGGAAAATGACTAAAAGTGCAATCGTCTAATTAACATACATCAACTTGATCAACATAACATTTCCATTTTAACTTCCAACATAATTTTATGCCGCACCTTAAAACTAAAATGTAAATTTTAACATCACTCGCCCGGAGGAAGGTATGCCATATCCAAGAGATCTTATTAAGGTCGGTGCTACTATATTATGCGAAATCGCTAATTTTACAAATTACTGCCTACTTAGTCATGCAAGGCATACGCTGTCACTCATTTCGTTTTTAGGGTTCCGCAGCCACTAACGTAAGATAAAACTGAATAATATTACGAACGCTGCAAGATTTACTTTATTTATTTTGCAAGAAGAAGAAGAAGAAGAAGAAAGGACGACAGACAAGCATGAGGTTCAAGTGATGAAAGGTGACATATAATCTCAAAAAGATGTGCCGTCGGCCTATTTTGCTTTCGGAATATTCGGAAATCCATAGAGTGAAACTAAAACGCCATTAATCTTGACGGCTTTTTCATCCGCAGACGGTGGTTGGGTTTTCGATTTACTTTCCAGATTTCCAAAGTCCAACATATTTTAGATATATTATACATTGATTATAAATATGTTGGACCCGGTGAAGGTCGAACTGATTATTAGCTGTTACTCCAACGAGCCCATCGCAAGTTTTGTATATCTGTTGCCACTTTAACAACAAGAGCTAACAAAACACTTTAACGGTTTAAAACGCGATATACTAGTTAAATTTATTTGAAAATCAAGCATCCGAAACGTCGGGCCGAAGTTAAAAATGATTTTTAAATAAGTTTAACTAGTATATCGCGTTTTAAACCGATAAAGTGTTTTATTTAAATGTGTACTACTCGCGTAAATTATATACATTATTTAAGTACTAACAAAACAAATCAATATTACATACTTCCATCAAACGCCCATATTTTTTCAACAATCTTTCTTTAATGGTTTGTTATAATTTATAATGTTTTGTTTACC